TCTAACAGATAAATTATGAACCATGGATGACATTGACAAGTTAATAGTGCGTTAATAGAAGTGACGTGTATATTTCATTACCAAATACAACATTAACAATAGTGTAAGCCATTTGGAATATTCTGCATGATGCCATGATTAATTTGGCAAGACATTTGATGTTGATTTTAGACCACGAGGAAGCCATATGCACATGTCGGCCACATTTGATCCCTGCACTAGCTAGGGCATTCTGTGCTACATTAAAATTTACAAGTGTCAAAGATGTGATTAGTATTGCTCCCCAATTGGTATTGTTTACAATAACTTATTGTCACATTAAATGAGTATAACAGTAGCGTTGCAAAATACAAGTTCAGGTGAAGTCGAGAAGCGCAGGCTCTCTCTTCCTTTTCTTTCCTCTCCCATCTCACTAGTTTTCAAACCCATCTTGGTGATGGGGCTGCCGTCGGTTTCCAATTTAAGGCCGGCGGTAGCCCTAAAATCTTCCTTTTGAGGTCGCCGATCCATATGCTTTCCTCTTTTTTTGTCTTTTCTTTTCCATTGCAAGCTTTGGCCTTTTGCATATGTTTGTGCATTTTTTCTTCCGTTTGGCTCTTTTCCCATCCTTGCGATGATGCTTTTCCAATCTCTCTTGTGGAGATGCTTTTGTTCCCACCAGATCGTAGATCTTTGTGGATGTTTCTCTGGTAGGTGATTGAGGGGGCCGATCTCATCGGCTCGCTCGCTCCTCTCTGTTTTCTCCATCTTCCTCCACATGCTTCATCCATAAATGGGGATGATTCGGAGATGCTTGGACCCTGGTGTCTTGGATGATGATTCAGGGGGCTTGTGAGCAGGGACGACACTTTTGAGCATGGATCCAACCGAGAGCTCAGATCGACGGTGCTTTGGTCGTTTTTCCTCTGTCCTTTCCGAGGATTGCTCTTTGCTTTTCGTGTTTTGTGCAGGGGGAGCTTGGAGCTTTTTCTGGGTTTGGTTTCCTCGTCAAGGTTGCTGCTTTTCCCCTTTTGCTTGCACGTTGTCGGTCTGGTGGAGGCGCTGGTGGAGCTCTTGTTTGCCTCCCCTTTCGTTCACCGGCGTGTGACCATGTAAAGGTAGAAGGTCGATGGCGGCGGTTTCCTTGATGGTGGGGATGCTTTCGGTGGCCATCCTCTAGGTGTTGGGGCCAGCTGGATTAGGGTTTACTAGGGGTGGGCTTGTCCAAGTGTTTGGGCATGGTTTGAGTTTTGTGGGCCTTGGGCCTTGGATGTCCACCTTTAGTTTTCTTTTTTTAGTTGGCTTTTTGTCCTTCCTTTCAGTGTTGTAAAATTCTGTTCACCGTGTTTCGTTTTAATGAAACGGCCAACCAATCTTTCGAAAAAAAAAAAAATACAAGTTCAGGTTGTATCATAAAAAAATTTGTATGAAAATTATAAATGCAACTTAATTAAATTTTGGTCCATTTTACTTCAAATGTATACTAAAAGCACATTTGGTTCGATTTTATCTAATCTAAATTCAATTTTGGTCCACTTCACTTCAAACTCAGCCAACCAACATAAAATCAAAATGTGTTCATTAGTTTGAATACAAATTCGAATGCCGACGCAATACGGTTCGGTTTGATATATATAAATTCGACCATAGCTAATCTCTACTTTCCATAGACAAAATATAAGGATTGTGAAATCCTACCAAAGATTATACTGGAAAATTAATTAATAGAATATGTTTTATTTGTGGTTTAACCGTGATTCAATTATTAGCTATCCAACTACGGTTTCAAAAACATTGCAGAAAAGGAGTCCCAACTTAGGCTTCTTGTGTTCTTGTTGAGAGTGGGGGGCTTCTTATGTTGTTGATAAAAAAAGGATTGGGCTTTGTATGTCGCTTAGAAGTGTACTAGCCTATTACCCGGCCCGTTGGCCGGATTACTGTATGTTACCCACTTGTGGAATAGGAGAGAAAGCAAGTGAGAGTGAAGGGATTGGGATTCCACTTGATTAGGACCGACCCACTAATCCGATTCTTCCCGACCCGCCCCAACCTAAAGGGTCAGAAAGAGTCAATAAAAAAATACGAACGGAGAGGATTAGTCATATTCATATATCTTGACTCTTCAGAAGTGGGTCAAACAGGATCAAGGTTGGGTGAGGGAAATTTTTAGCGCTAAGCAGAGTTTTGGGTTGAATAACTTTACTTAGGCCTAGAAATTGGTGTTGATGCAGACTGCAGTATTTATTATACCATCATCAATCATCATTAAATTAGTCCTGGGCATCCCTCCCCGTTGTCGGTATGAATTCTAATGATGGCTCCGTTCCTTGCACCAGCCTTATCAGCAAGTTGTCATCTCGAGCATGATTTGCCTATGTACAAATGATACAATTAGAGTATGAAACTGAATTCAAAGAAAAGGAAAAGAGATTTCTATCACATGCCAATAAATACACACATAATAGTTGAAGCTAAGTGAAAGTCATTACTCGCACATCAATTCTCAAAAATTACAGACTAAACAATGGTTAGAATGGCACTGAAACTACCAAGAATCATGGACGAAACAACTTGTCAAATTAAATAATCCTTATACTGAAACTACCTTCTAACTTGAAATAAGACATGATCACAGTGAATTGGTTGCAGCTCGTCCTTATCACTGCCTCCCAAGCTCAATTCAAACAGAATAGAGACCGTTATGTAAGATAACCATATCCTTACTGATCATAATTCCTTTCTTCACTCCATTTTTGTCAGAAAAAAGAGTTACCCCTCTCTCCTGCATTTCCCTTTCCCCCTCTCTTCTCCCTCTTCTTCTCAAACCGATCCCTAAACCAGCAACAACAACACAAAAATAGCCTTCGCCTCTGCCATCTCCATCTACTGAACGCGTTGGTGGCAAGACAAGACTGCAGAAGCAAAATTTTCTAAAATCAAACTAATTTTTTTGAAGGAGACTCAACCACGAAAAAATAGTAAAGCAACAATGCTAATAGTTCAGATGGTTGGTTTTGATGTTATACATTGCTTTTGTTCTGGTCTCCAGTATATCAACTGCAATAGAGATGTTTCCTCCAATCATCTTTAGTGCACGATTTAGAAGCAAGTCCTCCTGTTTGTGTCAAATGGAAACATTAATGGGTTCTTAACTCCCCTGTTAGTGTAAAAGCAGCAGCAGCAACAAAGAAATTTGACAACACAGCAAGCACCCAGGCAAAATGATACAATGCAGTAGGTGATATGTGTCTCGAAGGTTTTGAGTTACTAAAGTTCATGTTAAAAATAAACATGAATTAAAATGAATTATTCTATTAAGCAAACATCCCCTCCAATCATACAAAGATCAGATATCCAATTCACAAACAATTAAGCCATAAAAAATCATCACAAATCCACCACCTTTGATTGTCTAAATTTGGTTTTTCGCAAAAGTTATGGACTCTTAAGGGAAACGTTCATGGGTAGTCTGTTTCATAACTCTAGAGAGCACAGTAAGCAACCACCAGCCAGGCACAGTGTGGTAGGCGAATATGATTCTCAATTCACAATTTCTCACCACAGGAAGTAAGAACAGACCATAATAAGCGTAGCGTTCATGGGTGGTCTGTTTCATAGCACTACTACACAATTTGTTAAAAAAGAAAGAAAGGTATTTAGCACCACGGCGGAACAACTTTTACAGGCTAACAACGACAACATGCTCAACCACCAGAACCGGTATCACAACTCATAGGGAAAATCAAAAGATTTACTCTCAAATTAAGTAGTTACAACATCGAGCAATTGTCAAGCACATACTCCATCACAAAAGTCACGGAACCTGATTCACAAAGCATTAAAACATTTGAGGGCATTTCTGCAAAGGTACAACTTATATGTCTTTTTTCCAAGCCATTTCCATAAAAATGCTAATAAATTTGCAATGCATAAAACAAACGGGCCAAAACTTGAAATTCAGCCTGTTTGACGACCCATGCCAAATTCTAATTATTCTTTAATTTTAAACTTTCTATTTGAAAATAAAAAATAGTGAAAGAAAAGAGACGACTACAATTCGCCATTTGCACATCACTTATTCGGGAATAAAACCATAGAAATTCAAAAGGAACTGAAAATGTTTAGGATCGTTATAATGTTTAAAATAACCAAATAGATCTTTATGTTTAATTTTTTACTAACAAATACCAAACGATTCCCTATAAAATACACTATAATTTGATCATTATGATATCAAATAATTATAAAATATATATTTGAAATGATAAAAATTGGACTAATTGTGTTGGTCGAGGTTAAACCATTGAATAACTTTAAAATACATTATATTTTAGCTACTAAGATATAAAATAATAGCATAATATATATTATGTCAGAGAAATTAGCTTATTTTAGAATGACAAACCAATGATGTTCATTTATTTTACTTGATGGCCAAATCCCATGTAGGTCAGGCACATTCAACTCTTTTATTTTATGGTTGGCGGTTAGCCCATTAGATACCATGCATTAGTTTATTGTTAAATGTTTTATTTTTAACAATAAAAAGGAGTATTATTTTTACCTTTTCATATAGATTTTGTCACCACGGAGAAATAAAAGGGCTTAAAAAAAAAATTGACACTCCTGGGCCCGTTTAAATTCACATGTGTACGGTAAGTTGGCCCGTTCCACAGAGGAAAGAGAAAAAAAATTGACACTCCCTATTCTACCCTTCCTACAAACGCTCATGGAGCAGAGAATTTGAAATGGGGCTCCCGTGCTATTATATATTTTTCCTCCTTGCTATTATATGTTTTTAATTTAAAAAGATACAACAAATGTGCTTAGTGTGATTGGTTATTATCCTTGCTTTTCTTTAAAATGGTCATGGTTCGAATCCTAGTACGTGTCTTTTTAATGAATAAAAAAAAGTAATTGTGAAGACCAAAATATCATTCCTACTTTCACTCTCGTTGCAGGAAATTTGAAATGGGGCTCCCGTTTTTTCCTTCGGCGTATTATATTATGTGTAGATATGTATAATACAGATCGAGACAGTCGCATTCATTCCCAGCCCAATTGGGGCCATTTCTCTACGTCGACTTCCCGGCCTTGTTCGACGAAAAGGGGGCAGAGGCCCAATATTATTAAGTCTGTTTAAGCCTAATGACACCAGTAGTCTAGAAAAAAAAGAAAGAATCTGAAAGAGGCTGAACTGAATACTTACTGGGTTAACTAACTAACAGAAACACCACCTGCAAGCAATTAACCAGACCCTCTAATCTAAAACTTGGCACGAGCCAGCCAAATTACACATAGTTCTTCTTCTGTTCTGTTCTGTCACATCACACCAACCAATTATAATTTTTATTTATTTATTTATGACCTTCGCTTGAACTAATTAAAGCTGCATAAGATTCGATTTGAGAGCCGAGTACACAGCCCGCCAGCCGGCCTGCGTCGGGTGGACGCCGTCCCAGAAGAAGGCCGCCTCCGGATCCTGGCACACGGTGTACCTCTTCATCCCGCCGCCGTCCTCGTCAACGCTCCCGCACGAGTCGCTGGCGCTCGTCCCCACGCAGCACGGCTTCAGCGCCGACTTGTTGTTGTTGTTGTTGCCGTTGGGCAGCGCGGCCATGAATGCGCCGTACATGTCGAGCATGACGAAGGTGGGACCTCCGGTGGCATTGTTGAGGGCGGCGACGGATTGGGTTAGGAGGAGGTTGTGGAGGGTGACGAGCTGATTCAGGCTCTGGTCGCATTGTTGAAAGGAGTTGGATGCGGTTGTGGCCGGCAGGCATCCAAGGGGAGGGAGCCCCGTCACCATTACTTTCTTGACGCCGGCGCCGTGGAGCCGGATTAGGTTCTTGCTCGTTTGGTTCACCACTTGGGATATGAATGCCGGCAGATCCTGCATGCATGCATGCGCCAATTAATTACGGCAGGCAGTACTGTGCGCGCGGTGTAATTAATTAATTAATTTAGCTCAAATCAAATCAAGTCAAGTCAAGTCAAGGAAGCAAGGGGCTAGCTAGCTACTCCATGCCTAGCTAGCTCAATCGGTCAAAGCATAACGTACGCTCGATTTTCAATACGATAAGGGGCATGCATTGCATTGCATGCACAGCAGCAGCATATATATAAATTAATTAATGAACATGTCTTTGTGTATATTATGAACAATGCAACTCATTTTTACAAAACATTGAAAATTCAAATTTAACTCAATAAAATATGGACAATAGAAAAAATTAAGGTTGCCGAACGTTACGTACAGAATAGGACGTATAAATATAATAATTAATAATTTTGTGGACGTAATGTAACGTACCTGAAGAGAGCCGTTTCGGGCGAGGTAAGAGGAGTAGTCGTTGCCGGCGACGGAGACGAGGGCGACGGAGCTGTGGAGGTCCGAAGCGGAGTAGGTGTTTTCGCTGACAATCTGTTGAAGGAAATCGATCTGGGTAGTCATATTGGGCAGCGGAGCCAAGGTGTCGAACACACCAGTCCCGCCGTAGGCGAAATTCATGCCGTATCTCACTGACTTATACCCAATCTTCCTCCACTTGTATGGGATCGGCGACTTCACCCCGATGAACCTTGCTGCACATGATATATACGTTTCCAAAGTTGCAAACTAATTTAGTCAACTTACTGATTACTTTTACAAATTACATACATACATATATTTAGTGCTTAATTACCACTTACCCTTCACAGCAATACTCATGGATATTCGTACAAATCTGGTGTGTAATCGGGTAAGATAAAAAAAAAAAAAACTCGAAATTAATTAAATGATTTTTTTAGGGTATTGTGCGTGCATCAACATGATGAGCTGTTAGGTTCCACTAGCTATGTGCCTATGAGCTAAAGTAGTCCGATTAAGGTTATAAAATGAGGAGAAAGTGGGTTTGCTGGGGTGGAACTTGATCGATGATTATATATATTATATTATATGGCTCACACTTTTATAAATCGCTTTTCCAAAAGAAACCATTGAATTGAATTGAATTGATACCCCTCCCTCCCTCTTCTTTACAAATTTCCTTTTTAATATCGCTTTTTTAGAGATACGACGACAAGCAACATGATAATATATAATTAAATTAGACACATAAACCAGCTAGCTAGCTAGCTAGCTAACACATGATAATACAAGACATTGCACTAAGTAAAGTAAGTAGTTGATTAAGGGCATATGTATGTATATATATACATAAGGAAAACTACTCTAGCTTCTTGGATGCTTTCTGGGTGGGGTGGCTCGTGAAGGACTGGAGTAGTCATGATGAGATATGATGAAGCAAAATCAATGTATGGATCGGAGCTAGCATTTCTTCCCAAAGGTAAAAGAAAGGAAGAGTGGGGCAGTAGCATATAATATATAGCAGCTTTGGCTCTCAATAATATTAATAATGGCCAGCCTAGTTTTGAGTTTTGACAGATCGTATTCATGACTGCTACTACATACTTGAAAAGGAAAAGGGGACTAGTATATCTATATATGATGCGTCACACTGTGTCCCAAATGAAATGATGGCAAAAGAGACGATAGCACCGCACCACCAAAGGCCAAAGCAAAAGAAAAAGAGACCAACCCCACCCACTAACTCTCCTCTCCTCTCCTCTCCTCTCCTCTCAGTTTGCTTGCTAGCTTTTGCCTAATGATAATTTTTGGATAAAATAACAGAATTTAAGCTCAAAGCACCTGAAAATGAAAGGAAAAAAAAAACAAAAGTTGGTTTTTTCTTTCAATATTTCTGATGATATAGTCCTTATCGTAAATGTGATATCAAAGTGTCTGTCTGTGGATTCCATCTATATCAATTAGTACCACAAGCACACACAATCAATAAGAAAGAAGGCATATATGAAGTGCTACGAACGAAAATTCCTTAATATATATATAATACGCGTATTCGTGACTAGAATGAAAAACGTTGTAAACCATGGTAAACAAATAAAAATAGACAAAACTACAAACTCTCCGTTCTCACATCTCCCAACCAGACCATAACAAACAAGTATTGGAATTTTATGCAAAAGTTGAAAGTTAGTAAAGCTGAAATAATCAATGAACGACCGCACATTGTATTGTATTTGTCCCCTCTCTCTTTTGAGTGGGAATTAATTATATATATATTGGAGGGAGGAAATTAATGAAGGAACGAACCAAGGTAGTCGGTGAGAACGCGGCCGTCGGAGAAACGGCCGGTGGGTTTTCCGGGAAAGGTGAGGCCGTAGGGGAACTTCCAGGAGCGGGAGATGGCCTTCCTGATGTTTCCAGTGTCGACGTACGAGTCCCCGAACACCAACAGCTTGCTCGGCTTCAAATTGAACAACTGCCGTCCCTCCGCCTCTCCAGTACTCACGCCCCCTGCCGCCAAACAAAAAAAGGGAAATTCAAATTATTCATGCTCGCTCGCTCTGGCTCTGGGCTGAAATTGAGCTCTAGGGAGCGGCAAGTGTACAGCAGGTGAGGTGCTGAGTACTTTACCTGAGACCGAGAGAAGGAAAACGAGGGTGACGAGGAGGAAGAAGAAGGAGGAGGTGGCAACTCGGTGCTGACGTGCCGTCATCGGAGAAGGTTGCCGGGAAAATGTTTTTTCTTCTTCTTGTTTTTTTTTTTAATGGGCGAAGGTGAGAGAGAGGGAATGAGCGAGTTTACTTTGGTCTTTGGCCGTCTAGTTATATACTTAGGAGGAAGAGACCACAGAGAGAGCGCGTGTTGAAAAGAAAAGAATGCGGTGGGCTGGTGGTCAACTTATTTATTTGGGTTTAATTTAGTGGAAGTGGACACATCACACAAGTGGTTGGTTTGGACCGCGGAATATCTTTGTTGTTTTCCGGTACGATATGAACACAACACAAGAGAAGCTAAGCCTTAGCCAAGTGGGTCTAGAATACTAGAACTAGAACAAGTCTGCAACCAGAGAAATGAAATCCCAATTAACCTACTATAATAATAATAATAATAATAATAATAATAATAATAATAATTTTTCTTTCTTTCCGCGAAATACTTCTTTGAATGATATGATTATGGATCTAGCTAGCTCCAAAAATATGGAACGCTGAATTGACGATAAATGGAGCAACCCAGCTGGCCCCACTTCACAACATTAACACACATATACTACATATACCCAAGCTAGGCATAAGGCATCATAATTAATTAGTTCCAACTCGTGTCATGTTTACCTTCGTCCTCTGCTCTGCCTCTGCGTAAGTTTCCACAAGTGAGATCATATATATGTCACAATTTTTATATCCTTGCAATTTACGACGACCACTTCGTTCTCGCCATTTGTAGGTTCCTTTATTTTGTTTGATGAAATATGTGGCGCTTCGTGATGCAGTTCGGTGGAGTATTCGAATGTACAAGCATAATATGTGTTTGAAGGTAGTGATTGATAAGGTGAATGAGGGGTATCGTAGGAACGCGACTGGAAGAACCATTTTTGTGAGGAGATTCTTCGGTGGTTACTTAATTTTACAAGTTTCGGAGTTTGTTTCGTTAACCAACAAAACAATAAAGTAGGTTATGTTATTCAACTATGGATCAAACAATTCAATCAAATCACACAGTTTGGATGTGGACTGGATCTGATTGTTGAATGTGGGCTGGTCAACATGGGCCACCAGTCTAATTTATGTCGACAGATCAAGGCCCAATAGGTTATTTGATGACTAAATCTTTCATTATTTCCCGTTGGATGTAATGGTTTTGATTTCATATGGTTGACTCCTGATGGAGCCTATGACGTTATATATAACTTTGTGGTTCTTAATAATACAAGTGATCTTTTCCTTAAAAAGAAAAATTACACCTCACTTAAATCTTGAAAAAGTATAGCTGTTAACTCAAATGTCAACAACGTACGTAACATCACGAGGTGTATAGCTCACACGCGTGTGGGAAATCAAAATGGGAAACCAGTTTGAAACTAACAAAAAAGGTCAGTGGATCATCACAGCCACGCCCTTTGGACAACCGACCGACCGCCGGGCGGGTGCGTGGACATTACAATATCTGCCTGCTAGTTCAAAGTTCAAACGATGATAGTGATATGTGCAACGGTCTAACCGCCGGCCAAAAGGGTTTGGCATCGTCTCAATCCCAAGACTAGAGTAGAGAGTCAATTTCATGAACAGCAGCTGCAATATATTCTGCCTCTCATTCTTCTTTCCTTGGGAAACGTTGAATTTTCAGAAACGTTTTTGTTCCATCTATCCGGGTCGGTCAGCGTCGACTGTACGTGTTTATGTTTTTCAGAAAGGCAGGGTTTGTTGTGGCCTTATTATGTCGAGTCGACGACGCATCATCATGAGACATCACAACAACAGCCCGCTTTCGTTTTCGTCTTTGAACTGTGAGTTTGGGCCACAATTTGGGCTTTTGCACAAGATGGGTCAGGCCGCCCCGTTACAATTTCCGGACCAGCCAGAAGACGGGCCAAGTGTTTTTTTTTTTTTTTTTGATAATCGAAGACGGGCCAAGTGTTAGGGATAATGCATGTATAATTTTAGGTGGCCCAAAACTATAATAATTAGTTAGCTTTATTTTTATTTATTTTTTCTTTTGGATATTAATTTCCTGTTTGAAATGAGTAGCACCACCTGCCGATTTTTCTAATTTCCAGTTCCAGGGAATATGGTTTCATGATTCAGTTTTGCTATAATTATTATTGTTATCTCCACCCTCATTATAAATGTTGGAATCATTCTGTTTTTATAATGTGGGACTAGGGGAAAATCATCAAAATTAAAGAGACTTCTAACTATTTTATTATATGCATGAAATCCAAACCGAAAGATTTGGAGTGAGTTGGAGAAGAAAAGATGCAATCAACAACATATATAGCCATCATTTCACTTCAAAAATATCGATCACTTTTTCTCTGCATGGAAACCAAGATACGGTATTATAATACGTGTACTTTATACAAAAAAGTGATAAATTACTTCTATACGACACAATTAAAAATGATAAGGAAGTAGCTCTATAATGAAAACATACCTTCATCTATGTGACTCATTGGGACGAGATCTAAAAGCTATATAGCTACAACCTGTATGATGTCAAATTCTCTGCAATACCTAGAGTTTTAAACATTAATAGAGTTGCTCACACAGAGTGCAAAAAGTTTCATTCACAATTCTATTTGGTTCATCAATTACTAGTTCATTCGTATATTTAAATAGTTGTTGAATATTAATTAAGCTACTTATAATATGTAAGACCGCTATATATTTAGGAATGCACAATCAAACTAATAAACGCGGGTATTCGACGCCCTCTCCTAGACACAGTGAACACTGGGACTCCTCACATTGACTGGTAATCAAGCAGAAATGGTAAAACCCACATAAAGTTTGATGGGATGTGGTGGACTGGTGGGTATGGTTTTAGTTCCCACTCCCTTCAAAAATATTTGTTAATTTATAAAAATAAAAGGATCATATTATAACTTGCCAAAGACAGAAGGGTAATTTTATAAAATAAAAAGGTGAAATGTAATTGAATAACCACCGCCAAGTCAAATCTTAATTTCTTTCCCTCAAATCGTCCTTCACTTTTTCACTTCTTTCGACTTTGTTAACAATATTATATTGAGTAAAATAATGTTAAATTATTTTGATAGATGTGTTGAAGTGGGAGATGAACGATTTAGATAGCATTGCACTTTGTCTTATAGATGATTTAGGATTCAATGCTTCCAGTTTGCATTAAAGGTTGTATTTTTATTGATTTCATGATTTAATAGGTATGTTAGTATTATAATTGAAGATGTACCTGTTGAACTTAAGTATTGTAATAATATTAAATTTATGAATTTAGTTATGGGGAAGAGGTTGCAAAGCCTTCCTCAGTATAATTGTCAATGACGAACACAGATTTGGGTATTTAGAAATGGGGATGAGAATGGTTACCACATATTGCCTAGTTTATTTACGAATTGTCTTTCTACAATGAAAAGAGTTATTGAGTAATTAAATTCTGTTTGCAATTGGAATGAGGTAATGCGTGCATAGAAGGAAGCATCATTCGTCTACTATACCTACCAGCGGGTGACCTTTTCAGTCTCTTCCTCCGGCAACGGAAGATAGCAGCAAAATATTTACCATGGTCTAAGGAAGAACGCAAGGTGACATTAATTATTATATATATGCAAAACGTTGGAAAATCCACTATTATAATTTACTAGACATAAATATTCATTCCCATATATATATATATATATATCCAAAGGGATATTCATATACAGGCGGCTAAATGCTGGCCTAGCTTCCAAATACATAAATGATAAATATAACGATCCACATACGTACATCGATCGATGGATATATCGTCACAAATCATGATCATATCAACATGATCGATCATGAAACGTAACACATATATAGTACCCAGTCCACCCTGATGAGATTAGGATGAAGAAGCTATAGACGAGGAGGAGGAGGAGGTTGGTGAAAGGCCGGGATTGATCTTGATGACGAGGCCGGGGAAGACGTCGTCGGGATCGTGGATGTGCGGATTCTCTTCCACGATGAAAGGGTCGCCGCACTTGTCCCCTATCGTCTGCAGCGTCTCTCCTTCCCTCACCACGTATATTTCCTCGCACCGCCCGCCGCTGCCGTAGAGGTGGTGACTGGTGTGGCAGCACCAGCAGCTCAGCACCAGCAGCATCACCATGCAGATGCAGTAGTAACCCCACGCTTTCTCCGCCGTCTCTGAATTCCGACGCACCATGGATCGATCTGTACGTACGTGCGTTTTTCGATCTGCTAGCTAGCTGTGTATATATAAATAAATAAATAAATTATGGTTTCGATGGAAAGCTAGCTAGCTAGTAGAAGATAATAAGAAAGAATGGCCGGGGATTGTGGCCTTGTGGGTGGATGCATGCCCATGGTATGGGTTTATATATAAGGAAGAAATTAAAGGAGAGGGAGTTGGGACAAGTACTGCTTTCAATGTGGTTGCGTTGGTAAGTAATAATAAATCATTCAAAAGGAGAATATAATGGAGCGGGGTACATTAATTAATACCAATGACAACAACCATATATATATATAATATAAACCTTTACAATATTGATTTGAAGTTTTTTCATTAATTAATATTAGTTAAAATGTCTTTGATGTGAGCTTTTCATTGAGGTCAAATTTGAGGTGATCATTGAAAAAAAACTTTTGTTCAAGTTGATCATTCCATCTCCACTCCTTGATAATTATTAAATTAATTAAACTTTTCTTCTTCTCCCTTGATGCACCGCATGCGTACAAACATATAGCTAGTGTACTATCATCTTTGATTATCTGAGCGGACCTCTCTCATAAAGTTGTATTTGATTTTAGATGGGTTTGTTCAACCTTATCGTATTAGCATTCTAACAACAACAAAAAACTCTGCGCAAAGTCATTACTTACTGCAGATTGGCCCATGGCCGATCAATTCTAGTCTTTCCTTTGCCATTGTTATGCAGATGCTGAAACAGTGGATTTCATGCATATGAACAACATTAATCCAAGACCGACGACGTGTCTTTTACACATCCATTCAAGTTCCTTGGGAACCTATTGATCATAGTCTGACCATCCATACTCAGACTTCAGTACTGGTAAATGATCTTTACACAAGCCATCCAAGCTAATGTACGTTGTCAATTCATGGTTTCGTCAGCTGCTTCTTAATATAAGCAAGGATTCCCTCCACGTTCACCGTCCACGCAACTGCCACCGGCGAGTATCCGGTCCATGGGTTGCTTGTATTCCACCTAAAACCATAATCACACCAGACCAGTCAAAAGGGTGTTGTTTACTATGCTGACTCATATTTCCAAGAAGAAAATGAGTGATTATTATGCTTCAGAAAGTTGGCCTACCTTTTGAGGCCTTGGTCCATTAGGGTGTGGCCAACGCAGATGCCCTGAGTCTCCACCCTCACTACGCCCTTCCGGTAGGTGAAGAGATCAGGCCGAACTACCGCCACAAAGCTCACCGGATCATGAAGAAATATTCCTGGGAAACCGAGTAACAGATAATGTGATATGTAATGTTAACTGTCTGTTCTCAGGAGCTAACTAGTTCAACAGATTTGGAGGACCATTAAATTACCATGGACTCCATCAGACTTCACATGCCAATCTCTGTAGAACTTGCACATATTGCATATTAATTCGGCATACTTCCCTTTTGACTGCCTCAACTCAGTCAGGTCGGCATCTGCAAACAAACATACAACATAAGTAATACTGAGAGCTTTTGCCTTGAGATTTGACAAAGGAATACTAGGGAGGAAGCTTTAGCAGAAGGGATCTCTGGTTTCCTACCCGTCAATTTAACTTGAGTTGTAATGTTAATTCCAACTATAACAATGTCTGCCCCGGATGTAAACACAACGTCTGCTGCTTCTGGATCTCCATATATCTGCAAGTCATCGAGAAAATGCTAAATAACTTGCTAACAACTCCGTTTCAGAAAGACAAGTGACAGTAACTTACATTAGCTTCAGCAGCAGGGTTCACATTTCCCAGAGCAAAGAAGGCTCCTCCAAGAACTACAATCTTTTTCACTTTGCTAGCAAATGAGGAGTCCCTTTTGATCGCCTGATCAAAAATATGTAGTCACTGTCAAGTCATTGACTGTGTAAATCATTATAGAAGAAACAGGTAAACAAGGAAAAGATGAACACACCAAGGCCACGTTTGTCAATGGTCCAAGTGCAAGTACAGATACTTCCCCAGGGAACTCAGAAACCTTATCAACCAAAAATTCAGCAGCACCCTTCTCACTTTTTTCTGCATTTGGTGGTGAAAAGTATGTGTTCCCCAATCCATCAGAACCATGGACAAAGTCAGCAACACGAGGCTTCCCTCCCTTTTTGCCAAAACAAACACGGTTAATAATCAAACGAAATCAAGATTCATCCACACTTGTTGACTAGGGAAGTTAGTGTGGCATAATAAATGAGGACGAATATTTGATCAGAGCAAAAAATAAAACTCAGTTCTGCAATGGCAATATCAGTATGTCACTGATGCGGAGTAGTTACTTTTGTTCCAAATCTTCAAACTTTCCAGACAGATCCCATTCCATAATAAACTTGGATGGCCCATGCTAAGAAAAGGCATGTAAAAGATGGTCACCTTTAAAGGTTCAGGAGAGCCCTCTGCCACAGGAATATCAGGACGCCCTGCTAACTCACACTATCCATTTTCAAATGAGTAAAAAAGGAAGTGATCATGAATCTGTACCAGATCAAAAGAGGAGCTTGGAAAGCAGTCGAAACAAATTAACTATGCATGCACTTTACCAGAAGCAAAGCATTGCGAGTGGCATCTTCCGTGGAAACATTACCAAATACTGTGGTCAAGCCTAAGATCTCCACTTCCGGAGTTTGAAAAGCCATTAAAATTGCCATGCTGTCATCTGTATGTCAACAAGAGTAGGTTATTTAGACTGGTTTAGTCTTGTACTAGCGCAGCTATTCCAGCCGGTAAGTGTTGTGATACAGATACTCCTTCAATCCGACAACTTTTGAGTTAGGAAAACATACCCTATGAGCACAATCAAGTGAATAAAAAACTTTTCTAGAAAATAGACTTAAGATCCTAAGCTATATTAAGGAACCAGAGCTCCAAAAAGCTGTTGTGATACATCAAGACCAGCAAATATAACGCATGGTAAGGTTGGTCAGATCTGAGAATTTCGTATGAATTCAACAACGGAGGGCCACTTTCACAAAATCCTATTTCGTTACTGTTGGAATCTGGAAAGTAAAGAAGCAAATGATTACGGCTTTCTTAAGGACCTCTCCTGCTCATTATCAGTGAAAGCAAAGCAAGAAACCAACACAGCTAAAGATGAAGACTTTCTAACTCTCTTTCTTTTCCCCAATTCTCATGAAAGGTAAACCCAAAGTTAATCAGCAAACAGAAAGTGCACAGCTTGCAAGAATTTATCCAATTACGCTCCCCCAATGCCTCTCTCTGATTGCTCATGTCCAGGAATACACACACTAGAATTGCATTTTGCTTCAGCCAGCACTTAAAAAAGCCGGCAAAGGAAATATAATGGGGGTGAAGAAACTGAAGTAGGAAGATAAAGAGGAAATCGGTCAGCCAACTCACCGATCCCAGGGTCAGTATCAATAATGAGCTTCTCAGGCTTAGCAGAAGCGAAAACGCCATTAGCCACCACACCGTTCACCTTCGCCATTTTCTACCACCGTCAGTCTCCGCCACCACCAAAGTTAGGGTTCTCTCAGGGACAACCACCGCCAGCAACAGCAATCGACAATCACAGCTAGGAAATTGCTTGGACAACTGGATCCTAACTACTGGTATTTATACACACACGCCGCGATGACTGTTCGTTGCAGAAAATGGAAGGAAGGATTAAATTAATGGGATGACTAAAATAATTGGGGGCGGAATGGTGGCGTGAAGCAGGTCTGGGTTTTGTCCGGGAGTGGGGGAAAGGCATAAGCGCGGCGGCGACGATGACTGCGCCACGTACGACGACTAGGCGACGTACGACGGCGATGGCCTAGAGAGCGGAGATGACGACGACGACGATTACGATGAGGCTAACTGCTGCTAAGGCCGTAAGGCGGAGGAGGGAAGGATTAGGAAGGAACAGATCCGTGAACTGATGGGTGAATTCCGTATGATAACGTAACTGTCATCAACCGTGCATCAGCCAGTAATGTGAAGACACGTGGGCGAATTGGACTGTCCCGTGACGAGCGGAGCGAGCTACTGAAGAAAACGCTGCGACCGACTCCGTAATCCGTATTTTTGTTTATTAATCTTTGTTTTAATTGTGGTTTTGTTAGAGGTAATTCTTTTCTTAACTTTTGCTTAGCGATACGTGTCATTCTACAAGGCTTGAGCAATTCCCAGCGATGTATTGGTTGGACATTTGCATCATTCTAGTGTCTGTACTGTAGTAGGTTATATTCATTCTTAGTGGATATTGGATGGGAATGGGATGATACCTCTTGACAGTAATATCTCATTGATTCTTGTGGGTTGTATTTTGCTCACTTGTTTTGGATTCCTTCCCTTGATGTGTACATTGGTCCGCCAAAATGGCACTGGAGTTTTGTGTTTCCTGTTTTATAAGCCAAACTAGAAATGCTTCATACCATAATAATCAATGATTTATTTATGAAATATATAGGAAAAAATCCATAAATACATTAAAAAATAAAATAAAAACTCAAAATACTAGACTCATAATTTCTTTTCCAAACTACCTAAGTTTGAAGCGGTTCGAGTGACTATCACTCGATCCACTTATGGCATTGATTGCCAGGTCATCGATCCAGACACGGATCGAGTGTGTAGTGCTCGATCTAGGACTCAATCCAGATGTGGATCGAGGAAGGAGGACTCGATCAATTCTGGATAGATAGTGGATCGATTTGGTTGGACTCGATCAACTTGGATCAAGGATGTAAGACTCGATCCATTTCAATTAGTCTGCCAAATTAGTATCGCCCCGACATGCTTCAGGATAGAGTGCATGGATAAGATTATTGGTGCTAGTGGATTGAGTTTGTTGGACTCGAACTGGTGTGGTTCTATTTAGTACACTTTGAACCACTCTTCAGTTTACGAAAATAAAAAACCATCTATAAGCACATTTTGGTAGCTCATCACATTTCTATAATCTTTCCAAACACTAGTTGCAGGCTGGTGGAGCACCATAGCAGAGCAAAGAAGAAGCATTTTAGAGGTAAGTTCTGATTATGTTGGTAGGAAATTTCAGAAATTCGACCTATTGTCGAATTAATTTCGGTGGAATTGTCGAATTACAAATTATCATAATAGTATTGACTACGAAGATGGTGAATCAAGTAGTGTCCTGATTGAGAGCATATTTACTTGGCAGAATCTTTGTCGTATTTGTGAGGAACGGTGTTGCATAGTGGTGTCGAATAGTATGCAAGATGACTTATCGTATGTCGATTTACAATTGATATGCACTTGTATATGAATAATCAATTCTGTCTGATGATGATGGCATTAATATGATGCTGAGATTTATAGCGGAAAACATATTTCCAATTGTCGAGGTGTATGTCGAGACGGAAGAGGTTGGCCAGTATGGTGGTGGTAGTTATACCGAACACGGTGAAGGTTCGGGTGGACTTTACGGTTCAGGAGATTTCAGAGGTTCGAATGATGTACCATTGGCCAGGATATGAGACTCGTATTACACTTGGTCCATTAGTTGAACATGATGGACAAGAGTGGCCAGTATGGGGTGAAGAATGGGCTAACATAAGGGCACTGACAAAAGCATCTACACAAGCATCTGACGTGAACGATGATCCATATGTGTATATACCAAGTCTTTTGTACATTAGCAAGGCAAGCAACATGGAAGAGAAAGATTTAGATTCAGTGAGTAGTTCAGATGGTGAAGATGTGGTAGTTGAGGAGGAGGAATTTGAACCCCACACACTTCACTACACGATGGTGCCACAACATACTCTCCATGCTGACAACGACGATCTTGACCTCCCTCATGTACCCATTTGGACTCCTAATTCTGGGTTGGTCAAACATTTGGAGGAAAGCCTCAGGTTGTCGATGCATTAAAAGAAACAACGATGCGAAAGAGCAAGCTTTCAATATCGTGTTGTCACTTCCGACACTAAACAAATTCATGTCTGCTGCGAAAACCATGACGACAGATGCATGTGGCATGTTCGAACGACATATGTTAAAAGAAATGGGGCGTGGCTCATTCGAACGACATATGTTAAAAGAAATGGGGCGTGGTTCATTCGTAAAGCATACAAAAACCACACGTGTAGGTCGTCAATGATTTCTCTAGATCAGCGACAGTTAAGTGAAAGGAAAGTTGCAAAAACAATTAAACATCTGATTGAGGCACAACTTTGGATCATCATGAAGAGTGCAATCACTGAAGTGAAGAATCGACATGGTTATACCATCAGGTACAAGAAAGCATGACATGGAAATGAGAAAGCTATGGCGGAGGTGTATTGCAGGACACTTCTATTCCAGTGATGGAAAAGGAATCAGTTGGGCCCACTTGTATTGCCGGACACATCTATCCGGGAGGTTTCTCACGATAATGTTGAAGCAAATCACAGGCACCTTGCACGATCAGAGTTGACGATCCTTAGGGTATCGCAACTCGTACATCGCCAAAGATCCGTCTAGATACGGATCCTACTCGACCTAAAAATAAATTAATGTTCATACACTTAAGTTTCAACAAATAAATTAATGTCCATACACATAATTGAAAAAAAAAATAATGTTCATATCCATACACACAATTTCAAAAAACAAAATTGTGTTCAGATCCATACAAATAAATTCAACAAATAAATAAATGCTCATAAACTAGAATGTTACCTCGTTAAATTCTATATTGTAAAGATGTGGCGGTACCTGGCTAGGGAATGTTCAGGCTGATGGTCTCTCATGGAAGCTCTAATCCATCTAGCACCATAAGCCGCTTGCCTTAGTCGCTCTCCGGGAGTCCAACGGTCGGCAGGGCAGATCGGAGAAAAGTTGGAAGATTCTCCCAAATCTAGAGTTGTAGAATGAACATGGCACCACCCGCTTGCTTTGTGTTCGGGTCTGTACACTTGCACAACTATGCATATACCATCACCAAACAAGCAAGTCCTCAACCTTTTCTCCCAATCTTGTCCCTATCTCTCAATAGTCCACATACAATGCATATTTCCACCAGACTTATTCATAAACAAAAATCCTCCAATCAAACAAATAAGGTAGATGCGGGCATACCTCTCAATCTGAGCGTATGCCCGCAACATAGACTTGTCTAGCGGTGCTATTCGACAACATAGACAACATAGACTTGTCTAGCGGTGCTATTCGACGACCTTCTGGTGCTTTCCTGGGAACGTCGATGCCTAAATGCTCGCTTATGAAAAGGCTACAACCATTCAATGGTCTCAGTGCACTCTCTATCAAGACATCACCTTTGATTGGCAGCTTCGTCATCAAGGCCACGTCCTTCAACTTAATCGTCATCTCTCCCTTTCGAAGCTGGAATGTGTGTGTCTCTTTCCTCCACCTTTCTAACATTGTCGTAAGGAGGTTGTTGTCCATCTCCATCCCCACGAAGATTCGCACCCTCAACAATCTCGCTCTTTCAATGAAGAGCTCGACCCGATTATCCCATGGAGGCAAGCGAGAGAGCGACCGATGTGGATGGTATCAAGTTGTCTGTAGAAAAAATTCTTAATTATTATTTGAAAAAATTAAAATAATAATATCGCATTAACAAACAAGGTATATGAGGAAATGTTTACTGCTTCTGCCGCCCAAACACTTTCAGGTCGATGGTAAAATTGCTCAACCAACAAATTGGTATTTCACGGACCCGAATGGATATGGATTCTAGAATCGTACATCTTCGAGTCCATCTCGACAATTTTGAGGGATAGAGGTACCAAACTAAAGGAAAACTGTATGGAGTGGCAGATTGGGTTTAGCCACACACAACCACAAAGCATACTAGTTTTTTTCAAGAGTGGTGGAAGGAAACGAGGAAGTGAAGTGGTGTGATTTGTGGTGGAAAGGGGATGTGCATTTATAGGTTTAATGGGAGGGAGTGGTTCGAGCTAAAGCCACTCGATCCATGCATCATCAAGTAGCTTCCACTCGATATGCGTCTTGCGGTGTTCGAGGTGGAGTGAATCGAATGGATGAGATTGAGTCTCACTCGCTCGATCTATGGTGGAGTGAGGCCGAAGCGGTCGATCCGCTGGTCAATCACAGTGCATCGAGTCTAACCTCGCCGATGCATGCCACGCATCACAGATCGAGCACAACAAACCCGATCCATGTCGTCCATGTTCGTCAATCGAGTTCCTTCAACTCTATGCACTTGGATCGATGACCTGGCAATCGATGCCATGAGTGGATCGAGTGACACTCACTCGAACTGCTCCAAACTTTGGTAGTTTGTGAATTTTTTTATAAGTTTGGTATTTTGAGATTTTTCTTATGTATTTAGGAATTTTTTCCAAATATATCGTACTTTGGGTGATCTAACAGTTGATTTGTTTATATAATGGTGTGAAGCAATATATTAAACCAGAAAAAGTGATGTCGTATGAAACTACAAGAGGGAACCAGACCCCAAACCACCGAAAGAAACATAGAGGGAAAAAGCACTAGACACAAAGAAAAAAACAAGAACCTATACGCAACAACAAGTCGAACAGAAGAGTAGTAGCCCATGGAGTATCCGAAGAAGACGGTGGTACTTATATAACAATTTTGCTATGGTACACACACCCAGATCTGTGTGCACCACCTCAAAGCACAGGGGGAGGGCCACGTCGCCAGAGCCATCAACGGAGGGCCAGGATTGATCGGCTGGGGCACGGGCTCGGGGAAGGAAATGAGCCGCGCTTGAGCTGTGGGTAGAGGTGGCAAATGGATTGGATTGGTGGATTGATGGATTGGATTGGTGGATCCATGGATCAAATGGATTGGATCTAATGGATTGGTGGATTCATGGATTGGATCAAGTGGATTGGTGGATTATTCATGAATCCAAATGACATCCTCTACCAAGGACCAATATGTAAAATGTAAAAAGTTTAGGTACTAAATTGTCACAATGAAAAATTTTAGGTACCAAAACGTAATTTTCCAATGATATTTTTCGTATAAAAATAAAATTTTAGGTACCAAAATGTAAAAAAATAAAAATTATAGGTACTAAACCGTAATTTGCCAATAATCCATGGATCCAATCCATGAATCCACCAATCCAATTGGATTTGGATCAAATGGATTGGATTTAAATGGATTGGATTAGGTGGATATTTTTAATGGATTGATGGATTGGATTGGTGGATTGGATTGAAATTGCCACCTCTAGCTGTGGGGAAGCCGAGCTAAGGGTACTGGTGGGGGCCGAGGAGTGAGAGATGGGTGGGGTCTGGGCACAATTTTTTGGGTGTTTTGGCGGGATTTAGGTCGAAAATTCCAACCCCAAAATTGGTTTCATTAACTTGAACCCAATTCTTCCTCTTCTTCGTCTCGTCTCGCTGAAGTTGACGGTGGCCCGCCGGAGTCTTCCGGCAGCGAGAAATTGGAAAACTTGAACCTGTCGGAAAATGAATTTTCGGGTTCCATTCCGGCAGGGTTTGGAGCTTTATCGAAATTGATGCTCCTAAAGCTGAGCGACAATCAAATCTCCGACGAAATTCCTTCGGAATTGTCTTCTTGTAAGAAGCTCGTCACTCTGGATCTCAGCCAAAACCAATTGACCTGTCCGATCCCGGCAGAGCTCGCCCAATTGTCGGTTCTGGGTCAGCTCGATTTCTCCGAAAACAAGATGACAGGAGAAATCCCTAATGGTTTGGGAGAAATCAAATCGCTGGTCCAGGTCAACATCTCTCACAATCATTTCCGCGGCAGTTTACCGGCGACGGGAGCTTTTCTAGCGCTCAACGCCTTCGCCGTCGCCGGAAACGATCTCTGCGACTTAACCACTTCAACCGGGTTGCCGCCTTGTGGAGGAGCTAATAATACCAAGCGTTCCCTGATTTGGCACAATTACTTGGTCGCCTGTATCTTGAAGATCCATTTCCATGAACGAGATTCTGGGTTGCAGGAAAGAAAAGAACTTAATTTCCAAAACAGGGGACTATGTTTCGTACAGGGGGGATTTTGGAGGGACTCTGTTCGTGGTGAAGGAAATAAGGCGGGAGATGGTCATGAGTTCGATTCCGGCGAGTTTCTGGACGGACATCGGCGAGATGCTCACTGCCAATTCAGCGAGACGAGACGAAGAAGAGGAAGAATGGGGTTTAGGGCAGGGGTCGTGCGTTTTGCAGAAGTAATTTATTTTTTTTTCCCGTGAAAATGATAAAGGAAATAAAATAGAATAGGTGTAAATTTTTTTTTTAATTTAAACTTGATGAGTTGGCAGTGATATGGCGCGTTTACTAACGGTCAACGCGTTTGACTGTCCAAGTTAATGGTCAAAAGTCGGATCTGGCCAAATTGTTTATTTTGGTGTATAGTTTGGGCCAAGATGTTATAGATCGAAAAGATTGGTAAGGATGTTTATTTTGGTCAAAGTTCAGGCCATACGAAAATATTAACCCTTTATTATAATATGACAAATCATAATTGTCGCTTAGTATATTTTGTTAAACTAGTCTTCTAAACTAATCTTCGAATTTGATTTAGAGAATTCGAACCTGTGACTATCAATTAGAGGGGTGAGATAGCATGACTACCCCTAAAGAGGTTGGAAAAATGACACCCCCTATTAATTATAGGTTTTTAAGGTAATTATTTTGTGTTGCATTTAATAATTTATCCGAATTAAAAACCTATATTAATTACTCTCATTTTTTCATATGCAATGGTAGGTGTATTAGTACAATGGTATCCGTGTACACGTGCAATGGTAGTTGTATCAGCGCATGGTAGTTCTAAAAAAAGTATGTAATTAATATAAGTTGTTAACTCCTAAATATTATTAAATACAACATGAATTTAATACAAAAAATAACTATAGTTAATAGAGGTGTCATTTTTCCAACCCTTTGGAGAGTTAACAAGCTAACCGACCCTTAGATGTATCATTAGCCATATATTTAATACCTGGAAAGAGATAATTTTGATTGGGTAAATGCCACATTTGGTCACTTAGATTACTAAAATCGTGTCATGTTTAGTCACTAGAAAAATTTAATATCAATTTTGGTCACTCGAATTACTGAAGCATGTCATATTTAGTCACTCTCCTGTTAGCCTCCGTCCAACTCCGGTCACTCGAATTACCGAAACATGTCATATTTAGTCACTCGAATTACTGAAACATATCACATTTAGTCACTCTCTCATTAGTTTCCATCCAACTCCATTAATGAAGTTGGACAAAAACTAACGGGAGAGTAACTAAATGTGACCTATTCTAGTAATTCGAGTGACCAAAATTGATATTAAAATTTTCCAGTGACTAAACATGACACAATTTAAGGTTCTAAAAGAAAAATAAAGGAGAGGAAAGCTGGGGGAAAAAAAGACCCTCTCCGCGTTCTCTCTATCGTGGGAAGTGGGTTCGCCTTTCTCGCTCACTGCGACTGGCCGTAACCGGCCACTCCGCCTCGTCGCGGCGCCGGAAACGGCCACATCCGATGGGGATTTTAAAAGCCCTGCTCTGGGATCCTCGCGTTCCATCGCCTTGGTGTAGATACACCCTCAAATCTCCCCCAATTGTGAGTATTCCCCTGATTCGATTCGTCCCCCGACTTACCATGGCGGCTGTGAACAGGGTGGTTTTTGGTGACGATGATGTTGCGGAGGGTGCTCTGCGAAGCGAGCTCTCACTCCTGGGCAGAGTTATTGGGGAGTCCCCCTCAATTGCACACCTTCAGCACACGGTGGGCCGACTGTGGGGTTGCCACGGTGCGGTGTTGATTAGCCCACTGGCTGATGGGGTGCTGCAGGTTGTCCTCCCGACCGTTGCCGACCGCGATTGAGTCAGGAAGCTTTCCCCCTGGTTCCTCCCAAAGTTCTTGGTGAATCTGGTTCCCTGGGTGACAGTTACGCCTGAGGTTTCAGAGCAGCTGTGGCGTGTACCGCTGGGACTTCACTTTTGGGGAATCCCAACTCATTGCTGTACGAAGAAGATGGCCATCTTGCCGGGCCAAGCATTGGGCAGAACTGCCTCCCCCTCTGTCCATCGCATCCCCTCGACAGGTGAAGTTTATCTGCGTGCGCAAGTGGGAGTGGATGGCCGCCTTCCCCTACCTCTATCGATCCCGGCTTCGCATGAAAAGGCTGGAGGGGTGGACTTTGAGGCTGAGATCAAGTATGAAAGATTGCCACAGTTTTGCTATCTCTGTGGTATCTTAGGGTACATTGGCCAGCAGTGCCCTCGCCGGGCGGAGCTTGATGGTGCTGATCCTGCCTATGGGCGGCACATCCTGGTCCAGCGCAAGGGACCAAAGGTCAATGAGAGGACCCTCCTCCGCAAGAAGTTGTTTACCTGGGTTCGCAAAGAAGAAGGTCCCTCCCGCCACTCCTCCCAATTCCCCCTGCTGGAGATAGAGGCAAGTTCGGCTTCCAGGCTGCGTGCTAGAGACGAAGCACAAGGCCCGTTCCAGTCATCCCCCGAGCCTAAGAGAGCTCGCCAGGAGGGTTTGGAGCATGAATCAGATAATTTACCTGCTGCAATGGTGGTGGCTACCAGCCAGAACTGGGCCCAGTCGGCCAAATGAGCATCTTAGTGTGGAATTGCAGGGGCTTGGGTTCCACCCTTACAATTCCCTCTCTATTTGGAGCCATCAATCGGTTCTCTCCTTCTATTGTATTCCTTAGTGAAACTAAGAGGGATGATGACTTTGTAAATAAGAAACTATTGCGTCTAGGATTTCCTTTTGTGCATTGTTTTTCTCCTGTAGGTCGGGCTGGTGGGTTAGCAGTAGCTTGCTCAGCTAGTGTTGCTTGTTACTTATTAGGAGAGTCTTCGTTCTATGTGTATGTTGAATGCCAGCATGTAGTGTGGGGGACTGTGGCGTTTATCTTTGTGCACCTACACTATGATGCTCAGATTCGTGTTGATCAGTTTAATGATATTGTGGCTTTGATTTTGTCTTGTGTGTCTCCCATTGTGGTTATAGGCAATTTTAACTGTGTTCTGTTCGCCTCCGAGAAATTGGGAGGCAGGCTGCCGTCGTTTGCTGCGATGGAACAATTCCACTCTTTTCTAGACCAAACGGGACTTGTTGATCTGGGTTTTAAAGGCCCCCATTTACTTGGTCGAATAGACAAGGTCTAGCTACCCATATTTTGGAAAGGCTTGACCGTGGTCTTACTAATGAAAATCTACTTGCTGTTTGGCCGAATATGCAGGTGAGCCACTTGACGGATCTTGGCTCTGATCATCGAATGCTACTACTTCAGTTCGTCCCTGGGGCTGGGAAGGGCAAGCTAAGATTTCATTTCGATCGGAGGTGGTGCTCGAATGAAGAAGCTAGGGAGATCGTCTCTCAGGAATGGCAGAAAACCTACCGGGGCACTTGTCAATTCCAGCTGTTCGCAACTCTTAAAGGGGCACGTCACCAGATTGTTGTTTGGGCGAGGAGGGGCACCACCAATTCTGCGCGGCTCATCCAGGAACTAAAGGCGGCTATTGATATGGAACGAGACCAGGCGGGGATTGATTGGGATCTCATTACAAATTTGGAGATTCAACTATCTAGGGCCTATGCTCAGGAAGAGTTATACTGGAAACAGAGACTGCGAGTTGATTGGCTTCAACGAGGCGACGCAAACACTGATTTCTTTCACTCTAAAGTTCGACAGCAGAGAAGGCATAACTTGATTGAAGTTCTCCGGAATGACGACGGGGTTGCACATTACGATGAAACAGGGAAGGGAGGCGTGGCAGTCAGCTTCTACAAGCAGCTGTTCCTAGCGGATGGAAACTCCCCCGTTCCCCTGGTTCGTGCTTTGCATCTCCCTCTCAAACTCTCGGCGAGCCATAATCAGCTCCTCTCGGCTCGGGTTACAAGTGAAGAGATTAAACAAGTGGTTTTCAGCATTGGGGCACACCAAGCTCCTGGATCAGACGGTTTTACAGCAGCGTTTTACCAGGCTTATTGGGACATAGTTGGACCCTCGGTGTTGGCAGCTGCCCATTCCTTTTTCCGTTCAGGCCGATTGCTCCACAACTTGAATCATACTCTCCTCACCTTGATTCCTAAGGTCCCGAATGCAGCATTCATGAAGCAGATGAGACCTATTGGGTTGTGCCAAGTCTTCTACAAAATCATCGCCAAGGTGCTGGCCATCCGTTTGAATCAAGTGCTGCCGGAAATTATCAGTGAGGCCCAGAATGGGTTCGTGAAAGGCCGCGACATCACCGACAACATTCTGATTGCCCAGGAGGTTATGCAATTCCTTAAGACCAAAACACAGGGGCGAGACAAGTGGATGGCTGTGAAACTCGATATGGAAAAGGCGTACGACCGTGTCGAATGGGGTTTCTTGTTTGCGGTGATGGAAGCTTTGGGTTTTGATGAGCAGATTCTGATTTGGCTGAAAGCTTGTGTGACCACCGTCTCCTTCTCCATAATTTTGAATGGAACAGAACACGGGTACTTCCGGCCTCAGCGGGGCATCCGGCAAGGTGACCCATTATCGCCTTTGCTGTTTGCCATCTACACTGAGGCGTTCTCTGCCATGATCGGAGGCGCGATGTCGTCGAATCTACTCCATGGGCTGAAAGTTCACCGGAATGCACCCACGGTCTCCCACCTTCTGTTTGCGGATGACTCGTACCTCTTCTTGAGGGCGTCGACTGCGGAATGCGCTTCACTTCTCAATCTGCTCCAGACCTATGAGCAAGCAAGTGGGGCAAAGGTAAATCTTCTCAAGTCCTCCGTATATTTCAGCTCCAATGTCTCGGATCATGAAGCCTCCTTGCTGGCAGGGCAGCTAGGAATCACCTCGATAGGCCCTCTCGACAAATATCTCGGGCTACCCTCTCAGGTTCAACGCTCCAAAGTCTTGACTTTTAAATTTGTGGAAGATGCTCTCGCTGCTTGAATTCGGAGCTGGAAATCGAAGGCACTATCCCAGGCTGCAAAGGAAGTCATGATCAAAGCAGTTGGCTCCGCAACCCCGGTGTACACGATGATGTCGTTCAGGCTGCCGGCCACGAGCTGCCGGCGTTTAAACAGTCAGGTTTCCAGATTCTGGTGGGCCGGGTAGGATAAAGAGAGGGGTATCCACTGGGTTTCTTGGCCGGCAATCTGTGTTAGTAAGTTCCAAGGCGGACTTGGCTTTAAGGATTTCGATCTCTTCAACGTGGCGATGCTGGCCAAACAGGCGTGGAAACTAGTACAAAGCCCGACGTCTCCCCTGGCTCGCATCTACAAAGCAAGGTACCATCACAACACCTCTTTCCTCTCTGCAACGGTTGGGACTCGACCTTCGTGGGCCTGGCAAGGAATTCTTGAGGGCCGGAAACTCTTGCAGAGAGGGCTCCGGTGGCAGGTAGGGTGTGGGTCGAGTATTAACATCCTTAATGACCCATGACTACCATCTTCCCCTCCATCTTCTCCGAAGCTACTCCCAGGTATGTCCATTTCGAACCCTTACGTGGCCTCCTTGATTCACCCAATGACTAGAACTTGGGACTTGGATCTCCTCCGAAGCCTTTTCTACCCGGACAGCATCAAGTGGATTCTGGCCATCCCCGTGCCGTCATCTCCCCAGCCGGACAAACTGATTTGGCACTACGCCTCGAACGGAGTTTATAATGTCAAGTCTGGGTATCACTTATTAGTGGCGGATAGAGCTGCTTCCTTTGCGCCGCTCCCTCCTCAGCTGGACACAAAGTTCTGGAAATGCCTGTGGAGTCTCCCGGTGCCTCCGAAGCTAAAATTTTTCTTATGGAGACTTGTTCGCGGGTTCCTTCCGCTGTGTTCTATTCTCTACCAAAAGTCCTTGTGTGCTGATGATACTTGCCCAATTTGTTCGGAGGAACCTGAATCATTTCCGCATTGCTTCTTTACGTGCAGGGTGGCGCGTGGGATATGGGAGCTTGCAGGAAAAGAGGTCATTTGGCAGGCTGTATGTTCGCTAAATCCGGATGCCGCCTAGCATGTTTTTTTCTTTTCTCTTCATCTCTCTAAAGTGCAGATTGCGGAATTGGTCTTCCTCACATGGCGGATATGGAAAGGGAGATGCTGGTCCATTCATGATCATGTTCAGTTTTTGCCACCAGCCTTGGTTAGACAGTTTCGCACACAGCTGGCCGAGTGGGAGGATGCATCTAGTAGGAACCAGTCCACACAGCCTGCGAGAAGGCAACTCAGTGGACAACCAACCCCGATCTCCAGCCCACCGGGGGGGCTCCTGATTCGCTTTGATGGGGCATTCCGGAAGGATGTTGGTGGCAGCTCAGGGTTCGTTGGGTTCGCCGAAGACTCTTCCCTAGTCTGCGCGTATGGTAAGTTCTACACAGGTTTGACCGATCCCTTCCTTGCTGAATTACTTGCGTTGCGTGATTCGATGCTCTGATGTTTGCACCATGGGTTTTATAACGTGTGTTTTTGTGGTGATTCGCAATTGGTTATCCGACGAGTGGTTGAGAATGCAGTACAGCACGAGACGGGTGGAGCAATCCTGGAGGAAGTTTGCCTGCTCAAGTCCAGCTTCCAGTTTAGTCAGTTTGTTTTTGCTCCTCGTAGGACTAACAGGGCTGCCCATTTAGTGGCAAAAACGGCCCTTGCATCGGTAGTTCGGCACTCGGTCGACTACCGCTATTTACTTTTCAATTCTCTGTAATCAGCTGTCTATCTACGTTCTATCTATGAAAAAAAAAAAAAACATGACACAATTTAGTAATTTCAGTGAACAAATGTGGCATTCACCTAATTGTGATTCGACCTTTCTATGCGATTAACTATCCAAATACTAATATCTTTGGCTGTATAATTGAGTATAAGTTTACGTGAATATCCAAGAATATGGAAACCGAATACAATTATAGCAGACAAAGAGATTAAAAGGATAAAAGCTGCTAGGGTGGTGAACATGTAGTAGTCAAAGTACGTCTGGCATGCCAACCCCATCAACTATTCCACATGATATACATCATTACCCACTTCAATTCTTTACGTTTTAGTAATGAATAACTATTTTATAAACCACCACGGGTAAAGAAAATATTTGGAAAAAGGCAAGGCAACGCTGTTCACTACCATCCAATATCCATAGTACTTTGGTTTTTACAGCTTTTTTTCTCATTAATCCGAAGGCGCTTGCAGCAGCTGGAAGGTACCAAGATCCCGCATTTCAAACACTCTTTAGTTCCCCCAGTCAGCTAGCCGGCCAAAATTGAGCCTGTTAAGAGAAAAACGAGAACCATCATAGCCTTGTAGATAATGCAACTATTCATTCCTAGGCGAGAGATCAAGTATGCAAATCGCCAGGACCAACATAAGTGCATATTCCCACCTCAAGTGCGCGTAAACAATCCATGAATTGGTTATTTTAAGGGGCAAAGGGTTTCAATTTTCAACCTTTTTTTCAGCACATGTGCAGTCGCAATAAGTAGATAACTCTGGTATGATATGAAGAAAGCATTTCATTTTATAGGGACAGCTAGGGAGGTACCTTTTTCCAACAAAAAAGGCTGACGCATTCAGAGCACCTGTCATAACATTTCCCATGCTAACTTCACAAACCAATTCAACTTAGTATGAGAGACCATCGTATTTGCAGAGTTCCTTTCATCTTTTTTTTTTTTTTTTTTTTTCAGGTTGTCTTTGTCAGGTTGGGAGGAGAGACCAATGGATTTGCAGGTGTCTTTGTCAGGTTGCTCTTTGCACTTCCACCACCACCCTGTCCAACATTCCTAGCAGCAGCCGTCTCAGATGCCAATACAGACTTCTTTATCTGCACTCAAGTCATAAAACCTTTAAATGTAAGATGCAAACACATAACCAACTGGAACTATGAATGAACAACCGTTTATTTGCATCAAGTAGAGTATGCTCGTGTCTCTCTGTGTTTGGTATTGGAGCACAATGGACCAGAACTTACTACTGCAAGGCGCTCCTTGTGGATATCATTTGTTAGCTGCATGCAAACCCAGAAAAACATATACAATTAAACACACCACCCAAAATAAAATTTCCAAAAGGTCTTGAGGTGCAAGAAATAAACTGCCCCAAATCATCGCCGGCCAAGATTGAAAGTTCTAACCGGTTTTTGGTAGGTCTTGATCTCATCTCCACTAAATCCAGGAAGTGTTATGTTCCAATTTTTTTCTGTACAAAATCCAAGCAGCCTTAGATATCCGTGATCCTTAAAATAAATAACACAATGAGTTACTCCTTGTAGCCTAACTAACCTAGATGTAGAAGAATGTCCTTTGCTTCTAATGTATCAGACTTCCGATGCTTGGCTAAGGAGCAACCAAATGTTGTGATCTGCACATAAAATTATGCTGTAAGCAAGAAATAACAAACAGACATCATATGCACAAAATTGGCAAAGCAAGTCCTTAGACAAGGGTATGAGTTCTATAAAGTATGATAACCAATCCTTAATACCGCACAAGCAAATTACTTACAGACTCAACAAATTCATCTGCTATATCAGCAAGAATATCTTCAACTTCTGGGTCCAATTTCTCTGAAGGATCAATCTGCCAAACAGGATGGAGGAATACAACAGAGTTCACACACACACACACACACACACACAAACAGGTAAATACTGCAACGTATACCATGCATTTGATTGAAATGGAACCAGTAATCAAAAAGGAACCCTCAGATGATGCCCTCAACATCTAGTCCCCTCAACTTGCTCTCTTTTCTTACCTCTTACACATCGCTTTTCATTTTAGATCATCATGTAGGAGAAGCAGCATTGCCTACTATCACTTGGCTTGACATCATTCAACACATAGTATATAATCTACAAATTAAAATTAACCACAATTTGTGTTTAAATTGATGACATACTCGGTTGGAGCATGGGTCAAAACGTGTAAATTGGTGAATTCCTTTGCCAAATACTAAACATTATTTGTATAAGAGGAAAACTAAACCATATTCGTCAATAGTCATGCAAGCTGAAGAATGTACAACCGGTATAGCGAGATGGTTTCTCAAATTAAACACTATCTTAATACATCCAAGTAAAACGGTTATAATTAGAAAGTACCGTCATATAAATGGGCTCGGATTAGGCTCACCTGGCCGAGAAGGTCTTGGATACTTCTTTTGCTTAAGATCCGAGTGCTTGTTTCATCTATTTCTGTATTAGCTGCCTTATTCACAGTCTGCAGTGCACTTGGTTGTGGCATTGCTTGCGAAGGCTGCTTTTGATTGGCTGAAGCAATGGCCCTTGGATTCGGCTGCGGATGGGGAACAGACACTGAAGCGAGGGTTCTTGCAGTCTGCTCTCCTGCTTGTTGGGGCTGCGCAGAAGAGGGAGAGTGCTGCTGATGAGAAGTCGCAGGCACAGAATGATGCTGCTGAGGAACAGGTGCCCTTTGTTGCAAGGTTTGTGGACTCATTTGTGGTCTATGTGAAGCGGGAGGTATCGGAGGCTTTCCCTGAGATCCAGAAGCCAACCATGGTTGGTTGGGAAGCTGCAAACTTTGTGAAGTGTTTGTTGCTGAGGCGCCTGCAAGACCACCTGATGGCCTCATGAAGCTGTGACCTTGGAAATTCTGCATAATTGGGAAACCAGTAATGATTAGCACTGCAAGGTTTTAAACTTAATCTCAAAGTTCAACATTGTACTGACTAAATAACGCACAAAGCAACTTTCAAATCTTTATAACAAACAATATACAATCCACAAGGACTTCACATTAAACACTGCAAAACATATTGATACTGACCTGGGTATTCTGAGATTGAGTACTGGGAGTAGTTGACGGCCTAATAGAAGATTGAACAGGTCTCTGTTGTTGATGAGCTGGAATCCCACCCGGGCGCATCTGAGAGCTTGCACCCATTGAGCTCATCATCCCTATTCCCTGCATCCCGTGCCTTACCTACACATAGACAATCCATAAGACAAGTGATACCTCGTTAGTGAGTAAATTAACGGAACATGCAAACCGTTTACATTCAATCACCTATTAGGTCAGGTGGCTAAGGAAACTCCGATTCCACAGATTCTCTCTATCGTTACCTGGATAACCTAAAAGTTAACTCTTAAAACACCTAAGGGGTGAACCTTTGTTCCCGAACTAATAAAGCAAGCCCGCTGGTAACAGAACTTAGTAAGTACGACAAAAGAGATGCTAGCTCACCTGCGAAGCAGTGGAACTAGTAGCAGAATCAGGCACATTGACAGGGCCGCGATTCAATCCCCCGAACTGTTGCCCATAAGGGGTAGGATGGGTCGCCGGGACACCAATCGCGATGCCGCCTCTCTGTTGCTGGGTAGAAATCGGAGCTGAGGTGGCCGACGAAATAGAAGCGACCGAGGTGGGAGGCGAAGGAGAAGAGAAATGCTGGAAGTGAGTGTGAGGGTGGGGATGTTGCCATTGTCGGTGGGGCCTAGGAGTAGCGGCACCACCTGGCGCAGGTTGAGATTGAGGCTGGACGACCGGAATTGAAGGTTTTGAAGATGTGTTAGGGTTAGGGTTCGGAATCGGCGTGAGAGCGGCGGAAGGCGACGGCTGCGCAATCAATAGTTGATGTTGTTGTTGTAGCTGCTGCGGGGGATGCTGGTGTTGCTGCTGCGGTGGAGGATTCTGGTGTTGTTGAAGCGCGGCAGAAATTTGTGGCAGCGAAGGGGGAGGTTGTGCCGGCGGGGGGTCGACCGGTTGGGAGACGGCGACGGTGACAGGAGTTTGGGCGGTGGAGGGTGTGGCGGGATTTTGCTGGTCCATCGAGATTGTGCCGTGGAGTTTAGTGGAGGGAAATTAGTATATTTTAAGTCCTAAACGCGGGCTTTTACGCTATGGGTCCAAACTCGGCCTACTTTTGGAAGGGAAAAAAACTCGGCCTACTTGACAGCTTCAGGCCTATGTAGTATTTTCTTGCCCAACCTCGACAAGAATACATTTTCTATTAACTAGCTTTCTGCTCGGTCAGTTGGCGGGCCGGAGTACGTTTTTTTATTTTGTCATCATAAATTGATTTGTGTCTCTTGTCCGCGGGTCAATCCACTTTGCCAGTGGCCCGGTGAGAAAAATGGGCCGTACGAACTCGTTGGATCGATCGCTACAAGGTACTGGGTTATATGTCAAATGGTGTCATTTTTTTCTTTGATTGCGAAATGCGCCTATTTTCCTATTTTTCTTTTCACCTAACTCAATATTTGAAATTCTAAGTTGAACATTTGAATATTGATGTTATATAAGTGTGTGTGAACGAACAAGGGATTGGTCTAGTGGTAATACTACTAGCCTTGAACCTGGAGGTCTCAGGTTCGAATCCCTTCAGTAGTACCTAATTACAAAAAATAACCTATATCACCCTTATCTAAAAAAAAAAGTGTGTGTGAATTTTCACTATATGTTGGATCTAAGTACGGCATGTTATTTTGGTGTAATATTATATGTTATAACCAATGCAGTCAAAAGCGCGATTCTACCTAGAAGCGGAAAATGGGTAAAATCGTAAACCGTAGAATCAAAGCGTAAAAACGTAAGTTTTTTACGCATACTGTAAAATAACGGAAAATGTGTTAAGTACGACATATACTATGTAAACTATGAGTGCGCTTAGTTTAGATAAGTTAATAAATACCTGTAATTCATGTCTAAAGTTGAGAAACTCATAACATTTTAACAATACGTTCATAAACATATATCTTAACCATAAGCTACCTTCCCCTCTAAGCTAGTGATTTTGGGAAGGGCCTAGTTGGTGAATTAGATTACTCTATTGAAACTAAGTATGCACCCAAATACTTGATATGTATCTTTTAATCTTAAATATATCATATTTTTTGTGCTTTACCTGAAAAATATAAATATTTTCGTGAATAGAATACTCCTTTAGTGAACTAGAAGCGTAAAAGTGTAAAGCGTTTTGGTGAACCAGAAGCGTAAAAGCGTAAGCTTTTAAGCTTTAAAGCGCATTTCAGTCCCGATTTTATACACTTAAGATTTATATGGAAACGAAAGCGTACTATATGTTGGATCTAAGTACGGCATGTTATTTTGGTGTAATATTATATGTTATAACCAATGCAGTCAAAAGCGCGATTCTACCTAGAAGCGGAAAATGGGTAAAATCGTAAACCGTAGAATCAAAGCGTAAAAACGTAAGTTTTTTACGCATACTGTAAAATAACGGAAAATGTGTTAAGTACGACATATACTATGTAAACTATGAGTGCGCTTAGTTTAGATAAGTTAATAAATACCTGTAATTCATGTCTAAAGTTGAGAAACTCATAACATTTTAACAATACGTTCATAAACATATATCTTAACCATAAGCTACCTTCCCCTCTAAGCTAGTGATTTTGGGAAGGGCCTAGTTGGTGAATTAGATTACTCTGTTGAAACTAAGAATGCACCCAAATACTTGATATGTATCTTTTAATCTTAAATATATCATATTTTTTGTGCTTTACCTGAAAAATATAAATATTTTCGTGAATAGAATACTCCTTTAGTGAACTAGAAGCGTAAAAGTGTAAAGCGTTTTGGTGAACCAGAAGCGTAAAAGCGTAAGCTTTTAAGCTTTAATTTTAAGCTTTAAGCGCATTTCAGTCCCGATTTTATACACTTAAGATTTATATGGAAACGAAAGCGTTTTAGTGTTCTAGAAACGTAAAATCGTAAGTTTTTAAGTTTTAAAGCGTGATTTTGACTGCATTGGTTATAACTCATATGTTAGATGACATTTGATATAATTTATCAGGATAAGTACAATATAATGACTCTTTCTATATTTCCGGGCTAAACCGGGTGACCTATTAACCCTTGGCCCACTAACTCGACTGAGTCCGAGTCAGCCCGCAGTTTGACAACCTTGGTCTCATGCCGAGACTGCAGAGCATGTCTTCAGGATTTGTCCATATGCCCAAGAGCTTGCGCTTCCTGGAGCTGCCACCCAGACGGATACCCGCAGCTTCACAAATTGGTTCATCTCCTACCTCGCGAGCCCCAACGACCAGGTTTGCTTTGATTTCGTCTGTTGGTTTTTATGGCATTCGTGGAGTGATCATATCTTTCCAGGCATTATGGAAGCCCCTAAGGAGATTAAGCAAAAGATCCTAGCATGGGAGGTCATCGCGCAAAAAAGTAAGGCAGCGAATCATGCTATATCACTGATGAGGTCGGGGTCGCGTCGAGACATGGCTATTGGGTGAGACCGCGCCGACGGACTGGTTCACGATGAACTCTAATGGCTCACTTTTGCGATCATCAGGGTCCACCGCTGTAAGAGGAGCGCTTAGAGACGGGCATGGTCGCTTATTTGCGGCCTACACGATGAACTTAGGGGCTGGGGAGATGCTTGATCACTCGCGCGGAACTATGAGGCACTCTTAAGGAACTACAGTTGGTGTGGGATACATGGTACAAGAGAGTTAAGCTACAGCTCGACTCACGGGCTGCCGTTCACCTGTTGTCAACGACCGCGTCGATAGACCACCAGCATGCGAGCATCGTTCTTGCTTTCAGAGAGCTTCAGCAGCGAAACTAAGAGACAAGGGTGACTAACATTTATCGAGAGGCCAATTTTCTTTCCGTTAGCCTGGCTCATCGTGGCCATAGCTTACCTTTAGGGACTCATGCTATTGTCCCTTCTGATCCTAATATTGCAAATTGGATTTTGTATGACGTTGTTGGTGGCTTTATTGTTCGTTCTCTTAATGAGTAAGAGGTAATGGTGCACCGTTTTTCACACAAAAAAATTGATTTGTGTCTGTAAAATAGCAATAATACGAAGAAGACAAGACGATTTAACGTGGTATCCTCGATCAATAGCTTGACCGAGACTAATCCACGGGAGAGTGAAAACACTCTCCAGCTGCAACTTTTATTCCTCTTTCTCAAGTGTTGGCCGAAGCCTTGGAGTTACAAAAGCATATATACCCTGTTCTACAATATGTCACTAGGGTTTCCTTTAGGTCATCACATGTAGTGAGGACGTCGGACGGGCCACATGCATGAGATGCATGGGCTGGACGTGATGCATCAGTGGGCCGAGAGACATGGGCTGCAACACTGCCCAATACTCCCCCGCAAGCTGGAGCGTGGAGGTTACGCACGTACAGCTTGGATAACAAGAAGCGGAAGCGATCAGCGCCCAGGCCTTTGGTGAAAATGTCCGCCAACTGAAGGTGAGAGCTAACCTTAAGAGGATGAACATCGCCAGACTGAACACGCTCTCGAATAAAGTATCAATCCATTTCCACGTGCTTGGTGCGCTCATGGAAAACCGGGTTAGCTGCAATGTGAAGAGCAGCCTGATTATCACAATAAAGAGGAGTAGGATGGCGCAGAGGAACCTCCAATTCCGTAAGCAGCCAACGAAGCCAGATAATCTCACTAACTGTGCTAGCCATAGCACGATACTCTGCCTCAGCCGAAGAACGAGCAACCACCCTTTGCTTCTTAGTACGCCAAGAGATGGGAGCTCCACCCAGACTAATGAAGTAACCGGTAGTCGAACGACGCGTACTCTGGCAACCACCCCAGTCAGCATCACAATAGGCGGTGAGAGCCAGATCATTGTTCGCCGGAAAGAAGAGGCCCTGACCCGGTGTGGACTTCAGGTACCGAAGAATGCGAGTAGCAGCATCCATGTGCTCCTGTCGAGGAGCAGAAACAAACTGGCTGAGGACATTAACCCCGTAGGTGAGATCAGGGCGAGTGACCGTCAGGTAAAGCAAACGACCAACTAAGCGTCGGTAGGAGGCAGCATCGGCCATAGTATCACCATCAACAGTGGGCCGAGTCAAACGATGGTTCTGTTCCACTGGGAAGGCACTAGGGCGTGCTGCTGTAACACATGCATCAGCAAGAATGTCTAAAGCGTACTTTCGTTGGCAAAGAGCCACACCATCCGCCGTGCGAGCAAACTCCATACCAAGAAAGTACCTCAACTCGCCGAGATCCTTAATACCAAACTGATCATCAAGAAACTTTTTGACCTTGGCCGCAAAGACAAGATCATTACCAGTGAGTAAAACATCATCAACATATATCAAAGCCACAACAAAACTGCTCCCCCGGTGATAGATAAACAAAGAGTGGTCGGTGGGGGAAGCTCGAAAACCAAGAGTGTCGAGAGCAGCAGTGAACTTGTGATACCAGTTTCGAGAAGCCTGTCGAAGACCGTAGAGAGACTTATGCAGACGGCAAACACGGGTGTCACCAGGTTGAGCAAAACCTTGGGGAATTTTCATGTAAACCTCCTCCTCAAGATCACCGTGGAGGAATGCATTGTTAACGTCAAGCTGATGAAGAAACCACCCACGACTGACGGCTACAGCGAGAAGACAGCGGATGGTAACAAGTTTAGCTACCGGGGCAAATGTATCATGGAAGTCAATACCTTCAATCTGAGTGTAGCCCTTGGCAACAAGGCGAGCCTTAAAACGCTCGATAGTTCCATCGGGAAGGAACTTGATTTTATAAATCCACTTCGGGGAGATGGCACGCTTGCCAGGAGGTAACTCGACCAAACTCCAAGTGCCATTCAATTCAAGAGCACGAATCTCTTTAATCATAGCTGCCCGCCACTGCGGGTCCTGCATAGCCTGCTGAAAAGAGCGGGGCTCCATGTGAGAGGAGACAGCCGCCAAAAAACAAGTGTAAGTGGAGTTCGACCCATCATAAGCAACAAAAGCGGAGATGGGGTACTTAGCTGCGGAGGCGGTGCTCGAGGGAGGATGTCCAGGTATAGCTGGAGTCTCATAGATGTCCAAGTGGCGAGGAACAACGTGAACACGATCGCTGCGGCGGAGTGGGGCAGGGGCGACCGTCGGCTGAGGAGAGGGCGACGTGGGTGTTGTGGGCGAGCTGGGCGAAGCTTCCTCAGCGGGAGGAGAAGCCAGTGGACGAGGGGAAGAGCTCGACGCCGTGGGAGACGGCTGCTCATCGGGTGCAGCAGCTGTATCAACGAGAGGAGGAAGGATGGGCAAGTCATCGTCCTCGTCGCGGGCTTCAAAAACAGACCGTGGTATTCATGGCAAAGCACGTCCATGGGGTTCCTGAAAAGGGAAAATAGTCTCGTGAAAGACAACGTCACGAGTGGAGAACAAGCGCCGAGAGCTGAGCTCGTAAACTCGGTAAGCTTTCTGGGTGGCTGCATAACCAAGGAACACACAAGCCCGTCCCCGCTCGGCGAATTTATCCAAACCAGCATGTGTATCTTTAGAATAAACCAAACATCCAAAGACTCGCAAATGTGAATAAGAAGGAGGCTTCCCAAAGATTGTCTCGAACGGTGTCTGACCAGTAGCAGCAGTCGGAAGTCGGTTGATTAAATATGCCGCAGTGAGAATGCACTCACCCCAAAAACGAATCGGAAGACCAGCCTGAAATCGGAGAGCACGTGCAGTATCAAGAAGGTGGCGATGCTTACGCTCTACCACGCCGTTCTGTTGTGGTGTGTCAGTGCACGAAGTTTGGAGAACAATACCTTCTTTAAGAAAGTAATCCTGCAGTACAAGAGTGTTAAATTCGGGACCATTATCCCCTTGAACCCGACGCACAACGCGCCCAAACTGGGTGCGAGCCTGCTCAATAAACAACATCAGATATCGTCCCACCTCGGACTTATAACGAAGTAGATAAAACCATGTACCACGACTGAAGTCATCGACGATGGTAAGAAAATAGTAAGCACCGCTAAGAGAAGGGGTCTTATAACCACCCCAAATGTTGACATGTATTAAATCGAAACATCCTTTGGCCCGAATACCACTAGAAGGAAATGGAGTTCGAGTCTGTTTAGCCCTTAAACAAGAGTGACAAGGGTCCTTATTGTCAACAAAAGAAATTCCCAGAAAAGAACTAAGTTGCTGTAACTTGGCACTTGATGGGTGACCAAGCCGATCATGCCAAATGGTCTCTGAAGTCGTCTTCTCTTCGCGCACCGCACAAGCTCGAGCATTCTTGGTGCCGAAAAGACGTAGATAGTAGAGACCGTCTCGAAGTTCACCTTTCCCAATCAAGGTCTTGGAGAGCAAGTCCTGGATCACGCAGAAACCATCAAGAAAAATTAATGTTGCGTGATTTTCGCGAACAAAACGACTAACCGATAGCAAATTGCATCGGAATTCCGGGACATGTAAAACCCGAGGAAGAACCAGCCCAGTGGGAAAAACAACACTGCCAACATGTCGAACCGGAACACTGGTCCCATTGGGAATGCGAACTGGTGAACCATGCTCGACCACCTCTTTGCTTGATAATAAATGCTCATCCATCGTAATGTGCTCATTGCAACCTGAATCCAACAACCATTCAGTGTCAAAAGAAAAAATACCTGCCGAGTTGGCGATGGGACCCTCTGATGTCTTGGGCGAGTAGCCAAAATACTGCTGGAGTTGCTCGAGTTGCTGAACAGAGAAACCCGCAACCGGACTCTTCGATTTCTCCTGATCAACCTGAGCTGCCTTGGGAGGGCAATCACGCCAGGAACCATCTCGATCACGGGGAGGACGATCATCACGATCGCGGGAGGAGCGATCATCCCGAGCGGGCTTGTCACCCGACCCCCGAGGTCAGCGTTGCTGGGAATCACGATCAGGGCGATTATCACCTCGATCACGAGGCGGATAGCCAATTAATTCGAAACATCTCTCTCACAGGTGACCTGATTTGTTGCAATAGGTGCAGTGGTAGCGCTCGCGCTCCCCCGCACTTCGCTGCCCTTTGTCGTCACTGCGAGCAGCAAACACAGCCGCTTCACTGGTCGGTTTGCGGCCTTGGGTAATAATACGTTGTTGCTCTTCATTCATGGCAATTTGAAACACCTCAGAAATCGAAGGTATCGGGCGCATGGCTAAAACCTGCGTTCGCACGGCTGAAAAAGCGTCATCGAGCCCCATAAGAAAATCAAATAAGCGTGAACTATCACGCTGTTCACGAACACGGGTCGAGATGTGGCATGTGCACAGACCGCACACGCAGCTTGGAATGGGGTCAATGGCACTCGATTCCTCCCAGTAAGACTTGAGTTTGGTGTAAAAAGCAGAAACAGAATGCTTCTCCTGTTGTAGAAGAGTAATCAGCCGGCGCAGTTCATAGGCCCGAGAAGCATTACCTTGGCCAAATCGGCTTTGAAGATCAATCCAGATTTCACGAGAGGATTCAGCGAATCGCACGCTACTTCGAATTTCTTTATCCATCGCGGTCTTGAGCCAACCCTTCACCATCGCGTCACAGCGGATCCAAGCATCGCGTTCAGGACCCGCAGCTGGCTTAGCAAGGGTTCCAGCAACAAAACCGAACTTGTTTTTCGCCAATAGTGCATCCTTCATGTCCAAAACCCATTCCCCATAGTTGGAAGAGGTTAAAAGATCTCCGACCAGGAGCTGCCCCGTATGATCCGATAACGGCAGCTGAAAAACCAAAGGAAGAACATCACTCACGCCGCTACCAGAGGGAGCTTTGCCCGACCCAGTAGGCGACGTATTTCAAACAGTAGATTCGCCGTCGCTAGCCATAGTAGGACGACAATAACAGGGATCCTATTGCTCTGATACCATGTAAAATAGCAATAATACGAAGAAGACAAGACGATTTAACGTGGTATCCTCGATCAATAGCTTGACCGAGACTAATCCACGGGAGAGTGAAAACACTCTCCAGCTGCAACTTTTATTCCTCTTTCTCAAGTGTTGGCCGAAGCCTTGGAGTTACAAAAGCATATATACCCTGTTCTACAATATGTCACTAGGGTTTCCTTTAGGTCATCACATGTAGTGAGGACGTCGGACGGGCCACATGCATGAGATGCATGGGCTGGACGTGATGCATCAGTGGGCCGAGAGACATGGGCTGCAACACTGCCCAATAGTGTCTACTGGCAATAATTTTGACAAAGAAAATGTTGTATTTGATGGTTGTACAAATCTAGACGATATTGATGTAATTTAGTAACTTTGTAAAATAAAGGCGTCACTCGTGAGTTAAGTGATGTAAAAGCCCAATCGAGCTTTATTTATATGGAGGTACAAACTACAAAGACATGTTTCCTTCCTTTCTCTCCTTATTGTCATCTCTTTAATTTGCAAATGGTAATCTCAATCGAGTTTTGTCATGAAAAAGATAGTTACTGTACTTATTAACGGAAGCAATTATATATACAGTTGCGTACAAACAAACTGAAAAATTAACCAACGGTCATTTCCCTGGCTTGAGACCATGGTTGTCAAACCGGTTTCATGCCTGCCGGTTCAACCGAGTTCAACCGGTACCGGTCAGCAAACCGGTTGGAAATGGGTCGGTATTTAACTGTGGTCAAATCCGAAAATTCCAGTCGGTTAGACCAGAAATCGGAATTTAATGTTACACACATTATATCCAAAAATAAAGATCCTCCATAGGATTTAAACCAAGTACCTCATGTTCATTTTAGTTTAAATTACACACCTGTAGGCTACAAGCAGTTTTGTTGTCTATATAAACCTGATATGTTATATATCTAATACTAAATATTACACAAATCATTATAAACATTAATAAAATTCATTTGATAAAATTTTATTTTTAAGCATCTAATTGTTTAGTATTAGTTACCAATTCTTAGCTATATATTATTTTGTGTGAAATAATTCTTCTAATTGCTTTTTCATGATTAATTTATTTGGAATTGAGTATTTCCATTTTCCTCATGTATTTTATTAAAACCGGCATAACCGGCATGAATGCTGGTTGTACCACGGTCAGACCATTCCACTTACAAAACCGGCACACCGGCTTGACAACCTTGCTTGAGACCCACCAAGTAAATTCCCACTCATCAAACGAGTTTAGGATGCACTTCAAATTGCAGGATGTCTTCCCAGTAGCGAGTGATGAAGAAATGTTTCATTCCTTTCTTGCCTTATTTTCTTCTATTTGGTCTGCAAATGGTAATCCCATTCGACCTTTGTCAAGTGATGAAAAAGATAGGTAATGTACATTGCTCTACCTGCCTCTATAGTGTATCCGTATGTATGCAAAATTTGAAGTAAAACTCAGATAAGAAGAAACAAAATACAAACTTCACCCCTACCGGCTGTACATTGTTCCCTTTTACTAATAACTGTTTGACTATACATATAAACAAACAACCTGTTTTTGCCTAGTACACCAACCATTTGAGCGAAGAGCTACCGAGGAGTTATGGTAGGAGCTACTCCACTCATCAAATCACTCCCCGACACACTAAGCAGAGATGGCCGCTCACCGACTCCCCCACCGTTGCTGCTGCTCGTGTAAAATGCAGCTGAAGCTGATGATGATGATGGCCCCTCGACTGTACAACTTGAACCCGAAACCCCTGTCTCCGAAGGCCGGTCTTCGTCGTCGTAATCGGCAACAGCGAGAGCAGCTTCAGCAGGAGGCATCATCTTGACGATGACCTCCAGCTCCCTGACGACCTCTGCCACGGGAGGCCTCGTCTCGGGCCTCTCGTTGCAGCATCTAAGGGCCAGGCTCACCAACCTCTCCACGCATTCGGAAGGGTATGAACCCATTCTGCTGTCTATGATGGAGAACATCATCCCCGAACTGTACGCCATCTTCACCTCCCTCACTATGTTCTTCCCGTGGGAGATGGGTTGCATCCCCGTCAGCAGCTCTAGCAGCACAATCCCAAAGCTGTACACGTCACTCTTGTCAGTAAGCTTGTGCGTCAGCATGTACTCTGGGTCAAGGTATCCCTGCATTTATATACGTGCAATTTCGTTACACATCTTCAATTTGTCAACTCAACTCAGCACCATAATAAAACACGAGCAACAGAACTTCAAAATAACGAAGATAACAATAATCTGAGTTGCTGAAGTGGACAACACATTTTAACTCATACCCGATCCAAACCAAATAGTTTCCTCTCTCCAACTTCAACCCACAGTACCCAAGACCAACCTAGTTACTTTATGAAAGTACTTACCGGCGTTCCCCTTACTACGGTGGAAACATGGTTGGCCGCATTGCCTGCAGGCTCCTCGTCATCTTCCAGTGCAGGTGCTAGGCGGGAGAGGCCAAAATCAGCTACTTTGGCCGTCAGCTTTGTGTCCAATAGTATGTTGGTGGCCTTGATGTCTCTATGGAACACTGGAGGGTTTGCTTCCCTGTGAAGGTACAATATGCCCTTTGCTGACCCCAATGCCACGCTTACCCTCCTCCCAAAGTTCAGTACTCTCTCCTTGCTTCTACCTGCAATACCACCATTTGCCACAAAATAATTCACTTGCATTAACAGTGTTCTAAACTTCTAATGCTCATCCATCAATTAAGCAAAGAAAGGAAGGAATCGGAGTTAGTATGTCACCAGAAAGCCAGTCGCGCAATGTTCCATTGGGCATGAATTCATATACCAGCATCTGTGAACCAACAGTAAGCCAACAACCACCATTAAAGTACCTCAACCTGTGATCCAACTACATATTCACTCCAAATTTGAAGAGAATCCAAAGAAAGAAAGAACATTAGGCTGGGTACCTACCTGTTCCCCTTCCTCTTCGCAGTAACCGATCAAGGAAACCAGATTTCTATGGTGCAGTCTAGACAATAACTTAATCTCAGTCAAAAACTCCTTCTGTCCTTGCAAAGAACCTTCTTCAGCACGTTTTATGGCCACCACTGTTCCGTCTGCTAAAATGCCTTTGTACACCTTCCCATACCCCCCTCGACCAACTTCACTCGAGCTACTGAAGTTGTCGGTAGCCACAGCCATTTCTTTGAAACTGAAGTCTCTTACCCCATCTATTTTCATGGATGCTACTGAGGCTGCACGAAAGAACAACCGTAAGAAAATACATATCAATAAATCAGATCATGATCTCACCAAGCAAGGACATAGGGAGAAACCAATAATTCCTCTCTTTAGCAGCTTACATAAATGTTTCCTAGACAGTTTATGACGGTATCTAGCATTTCTTCTAGCAACCAGAAGCACCATTATTGCAAAAAGTCCAACCACACAGGCAACAGCACCAACCACAATGGCTGCTATGGCTCCCTTACTCATACTCCCCTTTTGATCTTCCAAGTTCACTGTTTGGACAGAAGAAGGAAAAAAAAGATAGTGAACTATTGTACCATGACGCACATTAAATGCTACCCAGCAGTGCATTTAAAGTACATACTCTGAGAATAAGGTCCAAGTAGAGTGAAGTTGAGCAGCTCATATGGTCCAAACAGATCACTACCAGCGAAGCGCCATGATGTGAACCTACCCCTTATTCGTTGAACTTCTGATAAATTAAATGCACTCGAGTGTGTAGCATTATCCCATGCAGGAAAAATTTTCAGATACATTCTCAAACGGGGACCTTGTTCCCAGGAATATGTATCGATCGATAACTCATAGAGCTCCAACCCAAGAGAACTGGTTATGTAGGTCACAAATTCGACAAGGTATGGCCGGAAAAATGAGAAACTGGGGCTCTTAAGTCGGTAGCCAATTCTAAGAGGCGCAGCACAAAAACACGGCAAAGGTGAGGATGGGACATATTCGAAGAAATCATCGGTAGGGCATGCCTGGACTGGACAGCTTATGCTGGACATTGTTGAAGACCTTTCAATAGCAGTCCAATCTCCCACTCCAACACCAGATTCACAGAATTTGCCAATGTTTGCTATATTAGCGTTCTTGCAGATAGGATTGCCTTGCAGCCTAAACAAAAACTGCCATAATGATCAGAAACTGGGGAAAAACACAATTCTTAAGTGAATATACTAAGATCACTGTACATGTCAAATTTAAAATTATCACCTTAAGGTTACATTACTTGGTGGATTTAATTCTCCTTGAACACTCGAGAATGAGTTCTCCCTAAGATCACTGTGATTATCAAGCACGAGTTAGAGATTCTGATATATGAATGTATCATATCAATGTCACCTGAAAAAGTCTAGAAATTAATACTTACAGCATTAGCCTAGCAGATGAACCCCACGAGATATTCCGCCAGATTGTAGTTGGAACAAAACCAGTCAACATATTATATTCAACTGACCTGCAAGCAAAGTTTGTCTTCAGATACAGAAAGCCATTGCAATATGACTGCTACCGAGCACTGTCACTATATTTCCTTCAAAGAAAAGTTCCCAAACAAAAACAGTAAAAATAGAATCTCACAGTGATTGAAGCAAGGGAAGATTAGAATAACTCGCAGGTATAGATCCATTAAGGCTGTTATGGGAGAGATCACTGCAATTAAACAGAATATGAAAAGTTAGTACCCTTCAGTTAGACGCTAACTAATTCACTCATGGAGAATGATTGAAAATAATATATTTCCCCTCCTTGTTTGAATGTCATTGAGCTAAAGATTCCAAAGTCTGGGCATTACTCACATAGCTCTCATATTATCAGAAAGTTCTGCTGGTAAAGGTCCAACAAGGCTATTCTGGCTCAGATCCCTGTAAGGTGAGCCAAATGACATGTTAACAGATATAATTGCATCACTAAAATTAGTTAAACGTTAAATACTATTGTTCACCAATCACCATGATGTAGAGATACTACATACAAATACAGAAGACTCGTTAGGCTGCTGAAGTCAGGAATAGCACCCTGGAGGCTGCAATTTCTAAGACTTCTACCTTGTCACAGGAGAAAAGATGCAACTTTCTTTAGTACCAAAATCAAACAGCACTCATGCAAGTAATTTGAAGTTGTTGTCAAGCTGACTGTATGTACAACGAGCACACAAATATACTATAGGAAAGGACTCACAATTTCAGTAGTCTTGACATGTTGCTGTACGTAACTGGGATGTGAGATCCATTGAAGTTGTTGTTGTCAAGCTGACTGTACGCACGAACAATTCCTCTAATGTAAGCATGTTTTCTCTTGCCAGGATTAAGATAATTGTGAATATTTGAAAAAACACATCCTATGGAAAAACGTATGAAAAGAGTAACAAGAGCACAAGAGATCCAACAGGAATTCAAGGGACAGGGACACATACAGTATACGCAAGACTGGCAAGTTTGACAGTTCTGATGGAAGATATCCAGATAAGTTATTGTTATCCAACAGCCTGCAAATATTGGATTCAGATAATGAGACGTCCTTAAGTACCCACTGAGGCTGACATTTCAAATCAACTGACGAACTTACAAATGCAAGAGGCTCGATGCTTGGGAAAGCTCAGATGGGATTTGACCACTGATTGAGTTGTTGTTCATGTGCCTGTAGTGAGTATGCAGAAGAGATATTATTACACGTGAGAAAGCTATCCCACCACCAGCAGAGTAATTTGAAGAACTACTAGCAAGGTCATATGGAGATCAAACTTACAGGTGTCTCACACTGCTCAAGTTGGCAAATGATTTTGGGATTGGACCTGAGATCTCATTCTCGTCCACTTGGAGTCTATTTAGATGGGACAAATAGCCTAGCTCAGGAGGCAGTGGACCGGATAGTTTGTTCCCATTCAATAGCCTGGTAAACAGAACAGAAACACAAGAAAAACCCTCAGGAATGGCGAAGCATATTTGCACAAATAGCAATATGTTTTTCTTGAAGAAGTTACCAACTTACAGGAGTTTCAAAGACGAGATGTTTCCTATCTCTTTGGGTATATAACCACTCAGTTGATTCCACATGAAATCCCTGGATAGAAAAAACCAAGAAACAAGCATCAGATAGACAAAGGCCACAAGATTGCAGTTTTGCAAAATACAAAGCAGAAAACATAGTAGCAGATCTGTGAGCTCACAATATCTGGAGACCAGAGAGCAGGCCAAGCTCAGGGGCCAGAACACCAGAGAGATTCATGTTGAGAAGCTGCCTACAATATTAGTTCAAATAGATGCAATAGCTAAGCGTGAAAAGCTGCAGAAATTCATGCTTCTCTGTAGGATAAGGGAGTGAAGGAGGCACTTACAGCTCCCTAACATGAAGATATCCATCGCTACCGATTGCATCGAAGCACGAGACACCAGTCCAATTGGAAGTACAAGGGTCCCCCTCCTTATTCCAATTGTGAAGATGTCCCATTGGATCAATCAACTGATTCTTCACCGCAACTAATGCACCCACTGCCAAAAAACACCCAGATACAGAGAGCATGTTAATGTATGTAATCAAATAGAAGCCATAGTCATCACAAGAA